GGATGTGATTTTACCAAATGTTAAGTATTGTAAGTTTTACTAGTTTGCATTACACAAAGTTCATGCTTTATGTCTCTAAGTTTTAAATATTCGAAAAAAAAGTGTTTCTAGTTTAGTATGAATCGTATTGCATGATTCAGAAGATGGTTTAATGGATGCAATAAATTCATGTTTAGTAATTGTTAAAATAATGATTTACATAGGTTGTGGAGTTAATGTGTCACACTCGTATAAAATTGTTCAAACAGTTTTTATGTTTATATGGAAAACACATGACTAGTGTTATAGTGTACTCATTGGATAATCTCTAGTTTAAAAAATCACACAGTAGGTACAATTTGGGTACAATCATGAAATACCAACTTAGATCTAAGGTCGAGACATACTCTAAGGTAAGTTGTATGGCTAACAACATAAGTGAATTTCCCGGTGCTTACGTCACTAGCCGATGGTTACATGTTACAATGTTGGACGAGGGTCGAGAGTGTTGTCCTCGATTTTGGATGTTTTCACATTTATTGTAGGATGCCATATTTGATAAAGTCTTGCTAAACCTTTTAACCACTTATGCCCGACCAAAATGTACCTCGAACTATACATTAGCATCATCAATTAATATTTTTTTATTTATTACTTCTATACATTTGTCCTTATTCTTTTGTACGACACTCATGATAATCTAAAATACACCACCTCACTCCATGAATGTTATACAAAAAGTATGTGTTACCAAAAAGTTTGTCCTGATTCTTTTGTATGACACTCACATAATACCATAAGCATAACCCCAAGTAAATGATTCACCCCTCGTAAAAGTTCACTTTTATCCTCATTTTCTTGAACAACGATCTCAATCTCCTATAATCGCTTGTGGTACTCCCTAATACTTTGCCATATTCTTATAAAAGAATTTAGTCATCTACCATGCAATCGATTGGGGTCAATTGAACGTCACATGGAGTTAGAGAGCTATATATTGCTAATATAAAACTCCCACATCCATCAAAGGTAAGCATGTGATATAGTCGACAGTCCCCCATAGGCCGTTTGAAGTTAGTAATAGATTTGGTTGGCATTGCTCAATCTTGTCCCTCGAGGACATTAAGCATGTTAAGACATAAGTTTTCAACATTCACCCCATACATGGCCAATAATAAGTTTCTTCAATCGACGTTGTTTTCCTTTCAAGTCCCATCCATTGCTTTGATTCACTTTGAAAGGGGTTGTACATGTAGAGTATTTTCGAATGAACCGTCAATGACTTCCTAATATATTTTATGATTTTTAATGTTTAAGCTTGTTCCCTTTGCAAATCATGTGGATAGGTGTGGCTTTATGTAAGTTTCTCTACCATTAATTTCTTAAAGAAAGGAAAAAACAAGTTCTATATGATGAATAATGCATGAACGTAACAATTTCATAATATACTCTCTTTAGAGGTATCAGAAAGAGTCTCAAATTATATTTTCTAGCTCTAATTCATAGAAATCTCATAATTTACACCATTTTCATGTTGTCATGACAAGCAAGTAAAACTTCACCAACTTACGGGTGAGTAATTTACTTTTTTGACATGCATATATATACCCCAAATTGTGTTTAAAATAGAAAAAAAAACATATAAGTCCAATATAATATTAAATTTGTATAGGCTTATGCAACGGAAAAAGCAAAATCCTACTTTGAGTCTCATCTAAGTAATCATACGTCTCTTTGTGATATTCCTACATTCCTAAGTGTCATCTAAGTAATCATACTTCTTCTTGTCTATATTCATGCATTCCTAAACACCGGTGTTTGATAATTTATTTATGTTTAAACTTTGGCAGTTTAGTAATGGTAAATGTTAGAAATGTTTAGTTTAGTAGTTTGGTTTATATATGTTGATATTTTGATAGTTTGGTATGTTGGTAACTTATAGTTTGGTTAATGTTTACATTTTGTAGTTTGATATTTTGGTAGTTTGGTTTATATATGTTGTTAGTTTGGCAATTTGATTTATATATGTTGAAATTTTGGTAGTTTGGTATGTTGGTAAGTTGGTAGTTTGGTTTATATATGTTAATATAAGTATATTATTATACATATTTATTTTTTAGCCGGATTGTCTTGAGAGTATGCTTAGAGACCCGGTGCATAGAGATATGTAGACTAGTCGAGTAAATTCGATCGTTCTTGGCAAAAAAAAATTATGGAGGCAAAAGGGGAACCAGGGGGACGAGGATGGCGAGTCGGACTAGCTTTATTTTATGTTTGATGTATGTTTTAAGTTTGTGAAACAAACAACTTTATTTATTATTAATTTTGTACTAAGTGTTATATGATATTATCATTATTATGTTTTTCTTCATTACTGTATTTTCCACTCTTTTATGTATTTTTAATAGCAGTTTTTATGCATTTGTAGCTACTCTAATTAAAAAAAGAAAACAATAATAGCGACGGCAACGACAACACTAAGGCTAGTGGATGTGGAGCGGAGAAGAGATGTGGGACAGGAAACTGCACCCCGTCACACAATACCGCCACTGCGGTTCAGGGGAGGCTACTCCGCCCTCTCTTTCCTCGTGTGATTTGTCGACATTTTTCTTTTAGTTTTTGTAATATTCATTAAATTATATATATATATATATATATATATATATATATATATATAATAATAATAATAATAATAAAATTCATGGTTTTTAATTCCCTACAAACGAGTATAATATTTATATAAAATATATTGTTTTTTTTTAAATAAAAAAAATAAAGACAGTGAAAGATGATCATTTCCTGCATTTTGGTGAATGAAATGAGGGTGACCGGAAAGCTAAGGTGACACTCAAAAAGTGAAAGGAGAAAGATGGGTATATCCTATGACCTAATAAAGGCGACATCACCATCAACGATAAGGGCATTAGTCACGTCAAATTTTAGCGGCCGGTGACACATGAACAATAACGATGATGCAATAGCAGCGAGCTTTAGGGTCTCTAGCGGCGGCATTTGTCGCCGATATGGACGTGATTTCTTGCACCGACATCTCATCTAAACTTTGAATTATAAAAAGGCCTTAATTATGAAAGTTCATATCAACTAATTCCAATACATATTCTATTGAATACCTACCAATTTCTAATAAAAAACGTGCCTAAACCCATGAAACAGAATTAGTAAGTACTACAACAAGCATACAAGAACAAATGCAATACCTACGGTATAAAGTGAGCATAAAGGATTTACCCTGAAAAAATAATGAAAATAAGTGTGCCGGTAGGCGATAGCCTGGCTTCAAAATAGAAAGAAATTTCTGAAGCTGTTATGGAAATTCGAGTCGAACATATCACGTCTCCAACTCTCCATTAATATCACCACAGACGACACGCAGATGAAGAGTTTTTCAGTTCATCAACCCCATGTCAATATCCCTTATGAATTAATCGGATGATCGATTGAAACCTACTATATACATCTCAATAATCCGAACTCGCCACAGATTAGACATGACAGGAAATAATGAAGTCATCAAGTACATCGCGAGCTGCTAGTATTATATATGCACCTTCCACGTGAAATCGCTTATTGTGCCCATTTAGATCGCAGATATGTCGTAAAATTTTATGCAGATAACCAACATATAAGCACACGTGTACAGAGCAGAAACGCAAGAATATCATCAAACAAAAGTCAAAATACAAAACGATATATGACTCACCTGTTCGTACTGCCGCTGCAATATTCATAGAGTTTGCCACGAGAGGAGAAGACGACGACCGCGACGTCGACATCGCAGAGAACTGAAAGATGCCGTGCTTTCTTGTTCAACCCTGATCTCCGCTTTGAAAACGTCACTTGTCTGCTATTCTTGTCTTCGATTCGCTTCATCTCCAACTTCCTCCGTCCCATCTTAGTTATATCCCCTCTCCAAATCAACTCCCAGACCTATAACTTTTCCACTTTCTGATGTCTATGCCCTATCTCTATTCCTCTCTCTACATAATATCCTTGAGAAGTACTGAGAAGTGGCGCCTCGTCAACCGTCAAATGTAGCAGAATCTTCCTTAATTACCCCTTCCTTACAATTCTTTATTTACCCTAAAAGGAAAAGAAAAGTACGTGCCCTGGTGAGTGACTGTTGGTACGACTGATCGTTTGTTCTAGCCTCCTTGGAGTGACCGACTCTGACTTTGATTTTTCCTTTTAATGAAAACTATTATATATTTTATCTCTTTTGAACATATCAACAAGAAACAAGGAATCCAACATTGGTAAAATACTTTTACACAAAGCTTCATAAATGGCCCTTACGGTTATTTGAAATTTGGGTTTAAGTTTTCATTTTTTTTATTTATTATTTATTATTTATTTTTATTTTTTTGTCTTTAAGATGGTCCACATGGTTTAAAATTTTTCCATAAACCGTCCTTAATTATGACTATCACCTTCTATCCACTTCTATCCACATATGTTAAAATGTCATAACATATGAAAGGTATGTAGAAGTAAAATCGTCGTTTACAAACCACAATGACAACTCATAAAGTTTTAAATAAATAAACTCTACCTTCCCCGACCCTTTCCACCCCTAAAACGTCAACGACACCAGCACGGTCAGCCACCAACACCATCGTCTCCCTCACCTCTCTCATTATGTTTATACTTATAAAAGGATGTTATAATTGCATGATATCACCAGTAGATCATGTAGGTTTTTTTGTATATACGATTGTGTAAGTTTTGATGACTTAACCTATTATTAACAGTAATTGTTCGAATTGGATCAAATTTGCGTTTGTTTTCTGCTTGTGTTGTACATCTTGAATGTATATGATTCTGTATTCAACAAGCATTATAGGACAAACTTGTATATGTGACAATGAACCTAGTTTAATCCTTGTATATAACATTGAGAATGATATATGGGATTGACATTCAAGTTGTGAAAAACTTGTATCTGAATAAATCTTTAATTCTGATACATGCATCAAATTTGATGCTTTGGCACCATAACAGGCTCTGTTTCTATTGCTGATTTGGAGGTTGAAATTTGTTTTGATAATATCATTATTATAATTATAATAAGCCTTTTTGTATAAGATATAAACTATAGATATACTCTGAGCCTTATTCCCTTTTTCATTTACATGAACTAGTGACAGGATCAAAGGACGAAAATGCCCTCCTCAAGTAAGCTTAAGGTCTCACCTTATTCCCTTTTTCATTCTGAATCAAGACTGAAAGAAATCGAAGGATTTACCAAGTGGTAAACGCTCAATCCATTCATGTTTTATTTTCACCTAATTTCTTGTTTGTGTGTGAAAAATAACTACGTTTCTTTATCTTAAGTAGTACAATTATACATGTTGTTTTAAGAAAATAAATAGCCATGATCCTTGACTCTATTCTATGACTCTTGTTTTCATATTACAATTGAAATGGATAGAAAATTTTTCATGCTTGTAGATTGTAAATGGAGTATCGCTGATTGGTTCTCCAATTATGGCTTGGTAGGACAATTAATGTAATCGACATTGGTAGATATTTGTTAGACATTTGGAATATGAACAAACTGCATATCCATTTGTTTTTTTTGTATAAATATAAATTTATTATGGCAGCAAACTTATACAATTGTCTTTTCCAGGCTATTTACAATGGATGAGTCCTATCTTGAGAATCATTTGACATTGAGAGCTGTGTATGTGACTTTAATCTAAACTTTTAAAGTTTCAACTTTTTAAATTTATATGATTTAATTTGACAAAATTGTAAAAATGGTCCATGTGGTTGGCAAATTTATGTGTTTTTGGTCCAAAACGAAACGTTGGTGCATCACTGGTCCAATTTTAGATACCTTGTGTGGTTTTGGTCCCTATGGTTGTATTTTCTTGTGTTTTTGGTCCACATCACATCTAAAATGACTAATATGCCCCTTAATAATTATATTTTAATTTCTTTTATTTATTTTCTTATTCTTATAATAAAATGAAAAAGGAAAACAATAAACCCACCACACACACACACACACACACACACTCTCTCTCTCTCTCTCTCTCTCTCTCTCTCTCTCTCTCTCTCTC